CAGTATTACAAAACCATATTTTGACCTTACTGACTATGATATTCAACCATTACCGTTAATGCTCTCAAACCATACATAAAAAGGTGCTCCCTTTCCGAAAATGCATAGAGAAAATATGAATTTCGAATGGTGATGGTTCGTAACAACCCAATATGTGTAAGGTCCAGTTCCAAAAAACCACAATACATATGTTTCAAATTTTATGCCATAAACGTTCATGTAAAGTTCCACGACAATTTCAGCAGAGATTATAAACAATGTTTAACCATTTTTGGTAAGATCAAGTTATGGTTCGCGTTTATGCGGGTATCTGAATATTCTCCTTAGTCGGATCTAACTGTCTATAATAAAGCACTGTTCCAATCATGGTGCTTGTACGGTAGCTGTAGGCAGAAGTTAGGGACTCTTCGTACATTGCATGGCAGCTGTCTGGGTGATGGAGCAAATGAAGTTTGGCGGATCAGTAGTATTGAATTGCTGGTTATTTTGCCAATATTGCACGACGACGGAAAGGTGAAGAAACCATAGGAAACTTTCATCAGCAGAAAGGCATGTAAGTACTAATTGCATCTATGTACCTACTTTTATGGATTCTCTATTGATGCCTTTTCATCGATAGAAGGTGGTCGGAATTATCACGCTTGGCGGTTCCATCCTAAGAGGAAGAGGAGACAACTGGCTTCTTACTCTTTTATCTCTATCTCTACCCATATCTATCTCGATCTCTATCTTACGCACTTCAAATCGGCCATTCACGAGCTGGTTCACGTTTGACAGAAAAGTGGTTCGTTTTCGCCCCCGTATTGTCTCCTCTTCCTCTTAGGTTCCATCAGGCCTATTCTAGTGAGGTGACAAAAGTCGCGTCGTGTGAGGTGATTCTTGCTACCAAGGCATCGAGTTAGCCATGGATGACCGAATCGTTTGGAGAAGAAAAATAATGTCCATTCCAAGCCTTTGACAGAAATAGACGCAATTAATAGCGAATTCGTTTATTATTCAGTTCTCACCTGGATCGGTTATCAAGATTGGGTCTGCTTGTTTTCTGGCAAACATCAGTTTACTCGTTTGTTTTTAAAACCTAGTTCACACTGACAAAAAGTTCGGTTTCGCACTGCACGCTAACTTCTGCTTACTCACCAGGTGAGTCAATCGTACTCACTTTCGTCCGATGTATCGAGTTGTCAAAAATTGAGTAAACGAGAAATGTCAAACTGAGTAAAAGCCACTCAGTCATCAAAATCCTGGATTTGGAAAAAATGCCAGTCATTTCGGAGGTAACCTCATAGAAAATGTTACTTAAAACTCGACTTTAAACCGACTGAAATGCCTTCAGGTAAGTACGAATTGTTTAGGAAAACGGTGTTGAACCATTTTCTGCTCCGGTAGAATGAATCCGGAGCAGGCAATTTCCATTTCCTTGAATAAAAATCAAAACAAAAACCCTCCCCGCAACTGAAAATACCGGCGAGTGGATTTGACTCAGTCTACGTGAGAACGTTGTTTACTCAAAAGTGAGTCAACATAAGGCTACTCAATTTTGAGTAGCCCTACTTGCCGCTGAGATGAGTACATTTGAATCAATTTTGAGTTGACCAGAATAAGCGTGTGGGTTGGAACTAAAGTCCTACAGTAATGGCGGTAAGCTCCAACTCGGATTAACTTTTAATACCGTCCCTGTTTGTATGATCTGAAAAATGTTTGCTCAGAGTTATGTTGATTAACTCTGATGTCGACATCAAACCAGCCGGACATTCTTGATCGGGATTTAATCCGAGGATAATACCGGCTGGAGCTTAACACCATAAAAGTATGTTCCAATCAAGCAAAGCGGTGCATTTTGACGCAGTGTTGCCAGATATACCGATTTATCGGTATCTATACCGATTTCCAAACTAGATACCGATATACAGATAAAGTTCCTCAGAATACCGATTTTTAAGATTATAATTGCCTGCCCGTGCTCGAATTTCGGAGAAAATGTTGGTGAATCTTGTATCTTTTTGAATACCTCATATTTTTGAGCCTTCAAAATACTAAACAATCATCTCTTTCGACTAATGTTTGCATTTTCTCACCGTGTTTGGCTACCCATCAATCGAGAAATAGCCGATGGCTCTTTCCGGTTATTCCTAGGGAATCGAGAAATATATTTTAAACATTATTTAACTTCCGGAAGTTTTTATTCATTTTTAAACTTCCTGAAGTTTCATCCAACTTTTCCTGAATTTTTCTTCCACCTCACCTTGGAAGCTTCTTTAACCTTCGCCGGAACTTCAAGGATGCTATCAGATTTTTATTGCAGATCCACACTAGCTGCAGGCACATTTAAGAAGTTCTGAAACTTTAGAAAGTCCAGACTTTTGTGTAAGCTTCGATTAAATAAAGACAGTTTCATTAAATTCTGTTAAAATTTGAAAACTCGGAAATTTCAGAAAAGTCCAGCGAACTCCAGTGAACTTAAGGAAACATCATAAATATTTTGGAAACTTCACAAGTCCAAAGAACTTCAGGGAAATTTAATGGTTTTCTGGAACTTTAGTGAAGCTCAGAGAGCATCAGGACAGATCAATTAATTTCAATGAAATTGCTGACATTATAAAGGAGTTCCGAGAAATTCAGGCAATTTCCAAAAACTTCAGCAATGTCAATGCAAATTTAGGAAACGTAATGGAAGTTACATGAACATTATATCATTGTGAGAACATTTTATGGGAATTTCTATGCTTTTTAATAGCAGTGTCGATAACTTTTAATAAATAAAAAATAAATCGAGAAGATCAGAGTACTTCAATGCTGATGTTACAATAAATTCAAAAAAAATGTGAGAGCACTTAAGAGATTTCGTAATCTTCAAGAAAGTCCAGAGACCTTCTAAGATGATTAGAGATATTCCGGTAGTCTTATTATAATCAGGGAAGTTTCGAGCGCTTCAAGGATGACCAGAGAGCTCCAAAACAGCCCCTTATTTAAGGAAAATTACAAGAACTTTTAAGGAATTTCGAGGAATTATGGAATATTCCTAAGTGCATTTCAGGAATGTTCCAAACACTTCAGGGAAGTTTTTTGAACATCAGGAAAATTTTCTGGATCATTAGAACATTCCCCAGGAATCTCTTTCTTCCGGAATCACGTCCTTGTTTCTTTCGACTGTTCCGTAAGCGCTCTGGCTTCCGACTTTCTTCAGATGTTTCTTCCAATCTACCTTAGGAAGTATCCGGCAGGAAGTTTATTTCGTTTTCTTAAGGAATTTCAATTAATTCTCCCAGAAATTTCTTTCGTCTTCTTCTAGAAGTTTGACCATAAGCCAAAGGTTTTTTTGTTCGAATTCTATTGGAAGGTTTTTCCGAGCTTCATCTGGCTTTCCCTGGAAATGGCTACTTCTGGAAATTTACTTCTGGTTTCTGAAACTTTTCGGGCTTCTTTTGGATGTGACACCTGATTTTTTCCGATAGTTTATTTAAATTTTCGCCACAAGTTTCTCAATTCGTGTCTTGGAAGTTTCCCGGCTTTTCACGAACTTCATCCAGGAGAGCTTCTTTCGCCTTTCTCTGGATATTTTTTCAGCTCCATTCAGAAGCTGATTCAAACATTCCCCGGAGTTTTCTTCCGTAATTTTCGGATCATAGTTCAAAAGCTAAAATTTTGCTTTGATTTTCGGCTTTCTCAGTTTTAAAACAATGCAACGACTACGATGTAATCTGCCCGAAATTTCGGCCATAGATTGTGGCTTTTTTCAAGGGAAAATATTGTTTGTCGTTATTGTCATTGTTGTGACTGATTTTCCATATTTTGGTTTCATTTAATGATATTAAATTGAAAAAAAAACTACTTGGTCACAATTTTGATCACCACTTGAGGACAACGATAATTTTAAAAATTAAATTAAAAAAATTAAAGAGTGTTTTAAGACTGAGAAAGCCGTCAAACAAAGCAATTCCCCTCAAATCCCAGTCATCACCATCGTTAAAATTTTCGCTTTCAAAAACGGCAAAAATATAAAATTAAATAAATAGTAAATACCGATAAATACCGATTTTTTATTACCTTTGATACCGATAAGCTGGCAACGCTGTTTTGACGGTTCGATTGGAACAACTTTTGACAGACGTCCATACTTTTACTGTAGGGCTTTTGGTTGAAACTGGTGTTAAACCAGACTCGACTCAAGTATTAGTACAAGACACTGACGGAGTCTGCACATTGTAGACGAAATACGCGTATCTGTCAAGGATAAGCAAATAAGGTAGTGGAAGTAAATGGAAATTACTAATCCTTCTGTCTCTCATTATACAAGAGGGGAAGTTTTCAAGGTGCCTCATACAATGAGGATGGAAAATATAAATCCAACGGCCAGATTGGTCCCCCACCCCTTCCTAGAGATTCGACTTAATCTAACCCCGCGCTTCCACTACAGAGCGGCCTGAAGAACCCTGCGAATCTGTTAGGCCTATTATGCGCGGTGTGTGAGGTGAGCTGACTCGTTGTCACTAGTGAAGTGACACTTGTCACTTCACTAGTGACAACGAGTCAGCTCACCTCACACACCGCGCAGAATAGGTCTATGCATCCATTTTGAAGACGAACCACTAAGCCGCAGTAATTCAATACCACCTATGCCATAAAGCCGGATTTTAGCGTGTAAAGCAGGATAGTTTGAAACTTTTGAATCAATGATTGTGGCTGTTGCTGGCCGTCGGAAGTGCTCTGAACAGCAGGAGGAGATTAAATACCTTAGTTCCCTAATTTTTCGCCTTCACCCGTTGTCAGTTGTGTGTCTGTTTGTGTGAGAGAGAGAGTCGTCAATGAGTCGCTTAGCTACTGCGTTTCGGTAACGTTTCGTTTTTCTAATGTATTCTGGGATACCACAGAGAGTAGTTAGTTATAAGTTGGTTTATCAATGGCCTACATGCCGCAATAAAGTGTTTTCGCTAGCTTCCAACGTTGCACTAACAAATATCACCGATCAAAAGGAAGAGATGTGTGTGTGTGGATTAAACGCGTTTGCTTTTGCTTGTTTTTTTTTGGTTGTAGGTTTCTGTTTAGAGCGTTAAAATTTCTTCTTGAAAATTCCCATTACAAGATGCTTGGTTTAACAATTTTATTTAGTTTTCTCGTTTTGCTGTTGTTGATGTTTTCCTTTAATATAATGTTTGTCGTTTAGCTTGCCATAGTTCACTTTCTTTTATGAATAAATAATCGTTATTTTTCGCTACTATGCTTGTTTTGTTTATGTGTTGCATTAAGATTGCAATTGTTATATAAATAAATTTTCATATAAATTTGTAAACGACTTGATCTTGGTTTTCCGACTTCCTCTAATGAATTGTAATTAATAATAATAGTGTGATGATTCACGATATAAGTTCTCTGTGTGTGTTTGTGTGGTTCGCTATTGATTTTTTCATCCCTCCTTGCTTCTCGCTTGGCTCATTCCTCTTCTATAGAGTTACTGTGAACTGTGGGATGGTGGTTGTCGCGTTTTGCACTCTGCCACCAGATGGTTCAACTAGTAAGTATTTAGTAGTAGTAGCTATTTAGTTTGAGTTGTGTTGTGGGCGGCAGTTTTGCTTCCATCTCCTTTCTCGCTTCCTCTCCGGCCTCCGGGCACTCAACATACTTATCCACCTATTCAACAACCAATCGACCAAACTGCATGCATCGTTTTTTCTTGCTTTCTTGCTTGTTTTCTTTGTTTGTTGATCACTGTTTCAGAATTGCTGTTCCGTCGGGTCTCCGTCCTGTCCTTAACATCCCGCGTTTAAAAATTATTTTAGAAATAATTCGCATAGCGTTGATTGAATCACTGGTAGAGCATTTACTACTTCTTTTTTTTTGTAATCTTTTTCTTTTGTTTCGCTTATTCACTCTGATTTTTTGTATTTTTTTTTTGTTTCCTTTAATTTTTAGTTTTCTATCAGTTATCAACTGGTATCATACGGATTTCTCTAGTGATGCTTCACTGTTATGTAATGTGGTAATAATAATCATACATATGTATATATTAATAATTTTAATCGTTAATAAAATAAATGGCATTTTGTCCTCACGGGTGATCGTTCTTGTTCTCGCGTGACTTTTGGGTTCTTCCCTTTGGCCACTTCCCCCGCTCCGTGTCGGCGTTGAATGTGGGTCTTGTTTTAAAACGATCTCTTTCCAGGTTCCGTGACTTTCTTCGGGCGGGGAAAAGGCTTTTTGTCTTAGCATATTATTCCTTCCTTGTTGAGTTCTGTTTTTCTGTATTTCTTTTCAGTGTGTCTGTGTGAGTGAATCTAATCTTCCTTAGCGATTAGCGTTTTTTTTTAAATAGTGCGTTTTCCTTTGTCTATTTTTAATAATTTATACTTGTTGCTTAGATTCTGCATAGTTTTTGTTCTACTTCTTCCTTCTACCTTCGATAGTTAGCAAGCATTTATCTTGGCGCCTTGTTGCCCTTGTAGTTACTGCTGTGCTGAGGTCGAGGTGTGAACTGTCGTGATGCTGTTTTTCGGGGAATAGAGGAACAACAACAACATAGGTACATGAGAACAAATATAAGAGTGTGTGAACACCGGACTGCGTGCCAAAGTGGAGGCGCATGGTGTTTTGTTTCGACCGAAGCGAAAGCGACTTAGTATTTACAATTCTTGACAAGAAGCTTCTTACCTGGCATCACCATGTTCATGGCTGGGTAGACTCCAGCGATTGGACGTATGTCATTTGGAGGCGACCGGCGACTCGGGGGCAGCGCCAAGGAGGGCTGGAAAGGAGAACACAAACAAATACAATATAATTAGGACTGGTCTATTCCTGAAGAAATGTGTTACAAATATGTTCAAGAGAAACCTTGATTAAGGGTACCCGAGCAAAATAAATTAACAAAATGAAAGCAAATAGATATTAAAGTTTGCAGTTCCTATCATAATGAAAACTCATTTTGATTTCAATTGACCTGATATTATATTGTACTTTCATTATGCAGTCAAACATTTGTTTTTTAATGAAAGCTACTTAAAGTTTTGCTGTTAACGAAAATTTAATTTAATTTCATCTGTTGTTAAACTAACGATTTTGGTTTATTTGGTTTGTTTAACGTATTGTAGGTCAATCGTGACATGTTCTGGGTGAGATTTGAACTGAAGTCTGGAGATCAAATTGAAATCCAGATTTGCTGTTATGATGTAACCTATTTTGAATACTCCAGTTGATCTAATTTCGGTTGATATTCATCATATTTGAAAGCATCAGAAGAGATGTCGCTATCTGCGTTGTTTGAGGATTAAGGGCCGTTTCTTCAACTACAGCATCATCAACATGCACTGCCCACACGAAGGGAGACCCGACGACGAGAAAGAAGCGTTCTATGCGCAGCTGAAGCAGGTGTACGACGGCTGTTCGCAACGGGACGTCAAAATCGTCATCGGCGACTGTAGGACGGGAGGCAATGTATAGACCGGCAATCGGGCCAAACAGCCTGCAAGCCGTATCGAACGACAACGGCCAACGATGCGTGCAGTCTTTTTCCCCCGCAAGGATATCCACAAAGCCACCTGGAGATCACCTGACCAACACGCAGAAACCCAAATCGATCACGTTCTAATCGACGGGAAATTCTTCTCCGACATTATCAACGTCCGCACGTACCGCAGTGCGAACATAGATTGCGATCGGAATCCAAACAACAGCCGAAAATTTACTGGTGGTGGCGTTCTTGTGGCTGTCCGTTCCGGATTGGAGGCGAGTGCAATCGAAAATGAATCGTGGAACAGTGTGGAACAGGTTTGGACAGCCATTAAACTGGGCGATCGCACATTATTTTTGTGCGCATTGTACATGCCTCCAGATCGAGTTCGTGATCTTGAACTCATCGAAACTCACTGTCAATCAGTCTTCACAGTAATGGAAAGAGCGACTCCAATTGATGAGCTATTCATTTTTGGGGACTTTAACCTAGCAGGCGTTTCGTGGAGACCATCCCATAGCGGCTTCCTCTATCCAGATCCAGAACGTTCTGTATTTCATGCAGGAGCTATCGGCCTTCTCGATAACTATAGCGTAGCAACACTTAGGACAATGCTCCGTTCATTTCCACAGCACCTTGTCCACTAGTTAAGCTTGTTCCGCACCACCCTCCTCTGATTGTCACTGTTGAGGACAATCTCGTTCGTGATTTCGATAGTCTTCCTGCTGCGGTTTCTTATGACTTTCGAAAGGCCGACCATCGAAGCATTGTAGATGTGTTGTCAAACATGGACTGGGAGAACATTCTCGATCATGACGACGTTGAGGCCGCTGCGCAAACTTTTTCTCATGTCTTGGCATATGTCATTGACAGACACGTCCCGAAAAGAATTCAACGCAAAGACTCTCACCCTCCCTGGCAGACGATTGAGCTGCGTAGGTTGAAGTCGACCAAGAGAGCCGCATTGAGAAGATTTACGAAGTATCGCACGCTTCCTCTGAAACATCACTACGTGAGACTTAATCACGAGTATCAGCGAGCCAGTCGATGCTTTCTGCGATTTCAACGAGGTATTCAGCGTAACCTTAAACTACACCGAAATCCTTCTGGAACTACGTGAACGAGCAACGCAGAGAATCTGGCATCCCATCTTCAATGGAATTGAACAGTGAAGTCGCTTCCACTCCGCAGGATATTTGCCGCCTTTTTTCTGTCAATTTTGCCAGTGTGTTCACTGATGAGAGACTAAGTGACGACCATGTTTCCCTCGCAACCAGGAACATCCCACTAATTGGTGAAACGCTGGGTGCAATTGATGTCAACGTTGAGATGCTCAAATCGTCCTTCAACCCTGGACCCGATGGAGTTCCGTCCGTGTTTTTGAAGAAACATATTGCTTGCTTGTTAACTCCACTTCACCGTTTATTCCGTATGTCCCTCTCCAGTGGTATATTTCCATCCTCCTGGAAATTTGCACACATGTTCCCTGTCCACAAAAAGGGAAGCAAACGAGCCGTGGATAACTATCGTGGAATTACATCGCTGAGTGCTGTTTCGAAACTATTCGAGCTTGTTAATTTGGAACCGTTGCTCTCTCACAGCAAGCAGTATCTGAGTGCTGATCAACACGGGTTTACTGGCGGTCGCTCTACAACCACCAATCTGCTATGCCTCACATCCTACATTACCGATAGTATGACTGAACGGGTACAGACGGACGTTATATATACCGATCTATCCGCGGCATTCGATAAGTTGAATCATGACATTGCGATTGCTAAACTCGACAGGCTTGGGGTGAGCGGTAATCTCTTGAGTTGGTTCCGTTCGTATCTTACTGGTCGCCAACTTATGGTTGCTATAGGAGATTGCAAATCAGCTAGCTTCTTTGCCACATCAGGTATACCGCAGGGAAGCCATCTGGGACCGTTGATTTTTCCTACTCTACTTCAACGACGTGAATCTGGTTATCGAAGGACCTCGATTATCATATGCAGACGACCTCAAAATATTTTTACGAATTTGCTCGATCGCTGACTGCCACAATCTTCAACATCAGCTTAATGTCTTCGCCAGTTGGTGTACTTTAAATCGAATGGTAGTGAACCCAGCAAAGTGCTCTGCCATAACGGTCTCACGAAAAAAGCAACCGATTGTATTCAGCTATGACCTGCTTGGAACGACACTCGAACGCGTGAATCAGGTGAAAGACCTGGGTGTGGTGTTGGATTTACAGCTAACATTCAGGCAACACATTTCTTATGTCATCGATAAGTCGTCTAGGACTTTAGGATTCATCTTCAGGATAGCTAAGAATTTCACCGATGTCTACTGCTTAAAACCTCTTTACTGCTCCCTCGTACGATCGACGCTTGAGTATTGTTCTGCGGTTTGGAATTCGAATTACAACAATGGTGCCGAGAGAATCGAATCTGTTCAACGTCGCTTTCTTCGTTTTGCGCTTCGTAGACTGTCCTGTAGAGATCCGCTTCGGCAAATTGACCTAAACGTGCAACCCCGACCACTCCGTAACAACCTCATGCTGAGGCTGCCACTGCGTCGCACGAACTACGGGGCATATGGTGCGATTTGCGGACTACAGCGTGTATTCAACAGAGTCACATCTGTATTCGACTTGCACCTCACACGTGATGCGCTTCGTCGGAGATTCTCATCTGTTTTCGCCGGCCGCAGTGACTGACAGAGAAAATTAGTGTATTTCCATTTATGTTTTTTACATTCTGACCATGTTGCTTTGTTTTTCTTTCTGTGATTATTTGACATGTAATTTTACTATTATTATTATTATGATTAGTATTATTAACATCATTTGGGCCACAGCCAGCCTGTTGATGTATGGCAACAATAAACACACCACTACCTAGTTGCAGCAGTAAGCATGCGCTCAAAACTCTCGACGGTGCATAACACCCGTGGAAGTCGAACGCCGCGACGCAACATTGAGCAATTACGGGACGCCGGAGTTGCCCAGGACTTCGCGCAGCAGCTGGAAGTTGCATTACCCACGGAAGAGCAGCTTCTCTTGAAGATGGCTGGAGGGACATCCGTTCCGCCATAGGTAGTACTGCTGCAGCGGCACTAGGTACTGCGATCCCGGACCGAAGAAATTACTGGTTTGACGGCGAATGCAAACTGTTAGTAGAGGAGAAGAATGCAGCACGGGCGAGAATGCTGCAACACCGCACGAGATTGAATGTCGAGCGATACAGACAAGCGCGGCACAGAAAAAACTCGGTTTTCCGAAGGAAGAAGCGTCAGCAGGAAGACCGAGATCGCGAGGCGATGGAAATCTGTACCGCGTAAACGACACGCGGAAGTTCTACGAGATGCTAAATAGTTCGCGCCAAGGCTACTTGCCGCAAGCCGATATGCAAGGACTTGGACGGTAACCTTCTCACGAACGAGTGTGAGGTGATTGAGAGATGGGAGCAGTACTATGACGAGCACCTCAACGGTGATGCAGCAGAAAACGAAGGTGGCACGGCAACAGACCTTGGAGCACGCGCAGAAGACGACAGACTACCTGCCCCTGATCTTCAAGAAGTTGAGGAGGAGATCGGTCGGCTGAAGAACAACAAAGCAACTGGTGTAGATCAACTACCAAGTGAGCTATTAAAATACGGTGGTGAAGCACTGGCTAGAGCGCTGCACTGGGTAATTGCCAAGATTTGGGAGGAGGAAATATGGAAGGTGTCGTATGCCCAATCTACAAAAAAGGCGACAAGTTGGATTTTTCTTTATTTGAGAGATTTTTAGCCATAGGCTAGTACATCTCTTCGACAAGTTGGATTGCTGCAACTACCGCGCGATCACACTGCTGAGCGCCGCCTACAAGGCACCATTTACAAGAGAAGGGGGTTACAGCAAGGTGATGGACTTTCGTGTCTACTATTCAGCATCGCGTTAGAAGGTGTGATTCGAAGAGCAGTGATAGACACGAGTGGCACGATCTTCAGGAAGTCCATCCAGCTTCTTGGCTTCGCCGATGACATCGACATCTTTGCAATGAACTTTGAGACGATGGTGGAAACGTACATCAGACTGAAGGCTGAAGCTAGGCGGATTGGACTTGCCATCAACGCATCAAAAACAAAATACATGAAAGGAAGAGGTTCTAGGGAAGACAATGTTAGCCTCCCACCCCGAGTTCAGATTGACACTGACGAAATCGGGGTGGTCGATGAGTTCGTGTATTTGGGCTCACTGGTGACCGCCGAAAATGATACCAGCAGAGAAATTCCCTTAGCTCAGTCGGTAAAGGCGCAGCTACAAAGCAAGACCATGCTGGAGGTGGCTGGGTTCAATTCCCGTCCCGGTCTAGGAATTTTCCGGGTTGGAAAATTTCTCGACTTCCCTGGGCATAGAAGTATGATTGGACTTGCCATACAATTATACCAATGCAAAAATGGTACAGGCATCGAAAGCTCTCAATTAATAACTGTGGAAGTGCATCTGGAACTGGAACACTAAGTTGAGAGCACGCAATAAGCTAATATGCGATATGCAATAAGCTTGAAATGCGAAGAAGAAGAAGAAGAAAAATTCAAAGACGCGGGAATCGTGCCTACTTTGGACTCCGGAGGACGCTCCGGTCGAATAAAATTCGCCGCCGCACGAAGTTGACTGTCTACAAGACGCTTATTAGACCGGTGGTCCTCTACGGCCACGAGACCTGGACTATGCTCGTGTTTTCGAACGGAAGGTGCTGCGTACCATCTACGGTGGAGTGGAGATAGATGACGGAACGTGGAGGAGGCGAATGAACCACGAATTGCAGTAGCTGCTGGGAGAACCATCCATCGTCCACATTGCAAAAATTGGGCAACTACGGTGGGCAGGGCCGCACGACGACCCAGTGAAAATGGTTCTAGAAAGCGACCCAACAGGAACAGGAAGAAGAGGCACGCAGCGGGCAAGATGGGATCGACCAAGTAGAAGGCGACCTGCGGACCCTTCGCAGACTACGAGGCTGGCGAAGTGCGGCCATGGATCGAGTAGAGTGGTGACGACTTCTTCGGACAGCAGAGGATAATTGGTTGATGTTGGTTCGCCGCAGTATGAAAAGTATAAATCTCTCTGTCGTTAATAACTTGGCTGAATTCTTGGCGGGTTATTTTTTCTACATAGGGGAAATGGCTCTAATGTTGGCGTATGGATCTAAGATTGGGCCCATCGCTAAAAATCTGCTATTTATTAATTTTATCTAGATGAATGCGTCATTGGCATGGTACTAATGGATATTATTGGTCGCTATTGAAAATTTAGTCAATTCTCGAATTTTTGTATGGGCCCAAATTAGGAGCATTTAGGCCGACATTACATACATTTCCCCTAGTCTGTTAAAAGAAAGTATTATCAAACGTATTGGACGATAAGAACAGCTGAATTTGTTTTTGGAACCTAGTAATTAACAAAAGAGAGAGTCGATGAAGAGAATCGATCAATGTAGTACACTGAAAAAAGTTTTCATATAGTTTCCATTGGGAACGCACATGATATTTTTCCAATAACAAATTTAATGATTTTTATCTGAAATTCACATAACATTCACATGATCACATGAATTCTATGTTATAAATCACATAAACTTCATTGGACACATAAGGTTCATATGATTTCGTGGTGCGATTCCCAATTATGAGATCACATGAAAGTTATGTGAAATCCTAATGGATATTTTCCATCGGAAATGTGATTTATTTTTTGAGTGTAGATTGGTCTATTTGAAAATAAGGGTATACACTTACATGCGTAAAGTACGTCTGGCCGATCTTGACGTACGACATCCCGGCGGCATTCAACGGAATCAGCTGCGAGTGGTACGGCTCGATGGCCGCTGCACATGCGGCCGCAGCGACCGCCGCTGCCGACTGGATGGCACTCGATGGCATCGTATGGGCGGCCGCCGCCGCCGCAGCAGCAGCAGCGGCACTGTTGCCGGGCGTGACGTTGGATCCACCGTTGTTGCTACCAACGCTACCACCCCGTTGGCTGTGGTGGTAGTACGTTTGCTGTTGCTGCTGCTGCTGCTGGTGCTGATGCTGATGCTGTGGCGTGTAGTATGGGTGGTGAGGTGGATTCGATCCACCGCCGTGTGCAAACTGAAGGTGCGTCTGCGGATGCTGATGATGGTGGTGATGCTGCGGCGGCTGCTGCGGATGATGTTCGTGCACCGATGACGATGTAATACTGTTTGGTGAGTTGTTGCTTTCCGTTGAGTTTGTGCTCGGCGTATTTCTACTGTTTACGTTAAAATTGTTGTAATTTCGCTTTAAGTCTAGATTTGGTGGCTTGGATGATCGGTTGATGCGTGTCTTATCGCTAGGGTTGGTATTACTGCTAGTGTTATTGTTATTGGTTGGTAATGTTGGTATCAGTGGTGGCTTGGTCACGGTTGTCTGGCCGTCCGATCTCGGTTGACCCTTCGGGGGCTGACCTAGCATCAATGGGCCATTGCCGCCATTGTTAGAATTTTGATTGTTCCCTGTATTGTTCGAGTTCATGTAGCTCTTGGGACCGCTGGTTCCGGAGTTGCTTTGGTTCTGATAGCCTCCGCTGCCGCCACCACCAACACTGTTGGGTGTCATTTGTCGGCTGTTGTTATTGTTGCTGTAGTTGAAGTAGTTTCCACTATTGGCATTCGATCGCTTTCCTTGGTAGCCGCCACTGGATCCGCTATTTTTCCGATCTTCGTAGGTGCTGTAGTGGTGATGACCAGCACCACCACTGCCACCGCCGGATGCGGAGCCCATCTGAGGATTGTAACCATTGGGAAGAATAGGAGGTGTGGCAAAGAGTGGCGGATTCTTGCCGTGAGGAGGTAACGATAGTGGCAGCGAGAGCGGCGTGCTTGGCGTAGACTGAGGCGTTTGGGCATTGTTGTTCTGACTAGCGTTCGAGTAGATGTGCGTGGCCGATCCATTGCTCGAGGGTAGCGAGTCCGGGTTACCCTGGTTAGACTGCGAATGTGGGTGATGATAACCGGTGCTGGCTGCTGCTGAGACAGTGGGAAGTACTGAGTTCATGATCGTCCCACCGCCACCGCCGCCACCACCTCCACCACCGGTGGTGGCCGAATGATGTGGATGAGGCGTCATCGGGCCAGCGAATGGAAGCATGTTCGAGTAGATTGGTTGAGGAATTGCGTACATGGGACCGCCGGACGGATCGGGCAGTTGCATCGGTATGTTGGTCGCAAATGGAGAGATCGGAACCGGTGTCACCGAGGCGCTTTGGCCTTGATTATGCGATTGGTGACCGTGGTTTGGTGGAGTCGTGTTACGTTTTCCGGAATACGACATCGCCGACATCATGCTGCTGTTGGCGTGAGTTTGTGACACCGGTGGTGGCATGATGATTTGTGTGCTCCCCGCAGAAGGAACCGACGATTGCGGAACGTAGTAGGTGATGGGTTGATTCCAGTAATTTTGATAAGCTGTACCTGAGATGGAGGATAGAACGTGTTAGAGTGGCATCCACGGTGAGAAGTGAAAGTACTTACTATTGAAGGGATAGCCAATGCCAATCGGGTACCCGATCGGATACTGTTGAAGTGGTCCAGCTGCTGCCGCGGCTGCGTTCGCTTGCGCTGCAGTAGGGAACTGTTCGGATGAATACATGACCGCCGTAGGGTTCTGGTACAGGGGAGCACCACTGTAGGCCGCCGTAGGAGTGTACGCTATGGGTAATACTGTAGAGGCTGCACCGGCGGCGGCAGCTGCCGTTTGGTAGACGGGCGTACCGGTTGCGGTACACATGTTCGGATCACGCTGCTGGTCATAGACAGGAACAAAGTATCCGGACATTTCTGGATCCATCGCCGAAGGATATGTATAAACTAGTGGTGAAGGTACAGCGTAGATAGTGCCGTCCGGCTGGAAAACGAAGAGAAAAAAAACCGAAATATGCTTAGGGGACATTTTAACGGAAACTTCTTGGGAAGGTCTCTTACCGCTGTCTGATATGTCGTCGACATTCCCGGTGCCCCGGAAGCATAGACGGTGGTTCCGGCTCCCTGCGTGCTGCTACCGTTTTCGTAGTTGACCGTGTAAGCACTGTTGGGCGTCGCCGAGTTGGAGTAACTCATCAAAGGAACTGTCTGCACCGCGTTCATCTTGCCTGTGTCGTCTTTTTTGTCCGCCTCCTGGGAGTGTTCGCTGTTGGCGTCGTTGGCATCGTCGTTAGCTAGGCCATGCTGATGCTCGGATTGGTTATCGTGTTTGACACTACTAGTATCACCGCCGACTGCTACCATCAATGTTCCGCCTGTTTCAGGATCGGACGCCATTGAGGTAACGGCCTCTGCTAGAGAACCATGCTCGTCATGGTTGGCATTGAGCTGAATCTGGGTGTCAGGGTAGTGTGTGTCAGAATGGCCGTAACTAGTAGGTGAATATGGGAAATCTTACCTCATTCAGCTCCAAGGGCTGCAGTTCGCTGGCCTGCAGCATTGGACTGGTAGCTTGGTGTTTTTGCAGCTTGAGTGTACCAAGCTCGTTGGTAGTTTGGGAGATTTCTTCACAAAGACTAGAATTTTCTGTGAAAGGAAACGCACATTCAGTATTAATTTCCTGTGGCAACTTCCTCGAACGCTCACCATCAATATCGTGATTATCGGTGCTTATCTTAATCGTACTCGTAGATCCATCATAGTTCAGTTCACTGCCGACCTCTTCGGCAATGGTAGTAGTGGCGGTTGTGGTCTGTTGACCACAGTCATTTTTGCCTCCCTGCGGCAGGTCGATCGAATTCTCCAGCGAGCTATTATTGTTGAGATTGTTCCGACTGTTGAAGGATTTCTGCTTTTCGAACTTCTTCTTCTGAACCCTGGGAGCGGATCCCGGTAGATTCGCCGTGGCCGGAAGGTTCGATGGATCAAAGTGGTAGATTGTGCTGCGAGAGTAAGAAATCAGAATTAACTAGGACTGTATCTTAAACATTTTCCCCAGAAAGGCCATACCCATCCTGATTGACGATTGGTTGCAGCGTTTGTGGGTCGATCAGTACGCTTCCCTTTGGCACACTAGCCATATCGGTAACTGCCCAGACGACTCCGCACGTCGACGAGGGCGATTGTATGCAGGGTTCCGGCGTGTGATCTCCGCTGCCGTAGCCGGTCGGCGATGGCGTCACCGAGTCCGATCGGATCGATTGGGTTTTGTAGCTGAAAGTGAAGTATGACCTATTGAGTACGAATGGGTTGACTGCGTCGTCGACCGTCTGGTTCCCGTGGGGCAGCGCCCAGTTCAGAACTTACCCACTACTGGAGGGAGACAACCGCCAGGGAGTGTTTGTACTAGCGTTGGAGTCCTGTTTGGTGAACAGCCGCCCACTGGCGCTCTTGGTGGACGTAATGGAGTCACCGCGCAGGAGCGGTGCATTCTGAGATGAGCCTCCGTAGCCACCGAAGCTGTGCGATTTGGACACGCACGGTCGCTCGTCCGACCGGCCCTCAATTGACTGTAATGGAATTAGGTCAGGTCGTTAAAGTTGGCTGCCATGTGTTTGCTTACCACTGATTGTACTTTTAGCAGACGATTGTTCTGAAGCTTGGGGCGACCGTTCATGGGCTCGGGATTCTCCGTTGACATCCATTGCCACTGCTCTTCGGAGCTGCCGTCCTGCGAAAGAAAGAGCAACAAGTGTGATGGTTTAGATTGAGAAGTTTATGAAGTTTTCCTATTTAGCAGAATGGCCGTTTGTCGGAAAACCACTTTGCATATCCAGGAAACCACCCATTTTAAAATCCCATAAAACATATCCCGGACAACTTTTGGTTACCTTATGATATGTTGATGTACTGGTAGAACAGCACCGCACTTAGCAGGTCGCGAAGGTGGAAAATTCTTGATGGGCGGAAAAATAGCTACGAAGTTCTATCAACTTCTTCCAAGTTCCATAATTATTTTTTTGCAAGTTCACTCAATTAGACCAAGATCTCAGAACATCCATGACTTCCCAACTTCAGGAAAGACCTTTCAAAAATTTCATAATCATCGAGGCGAAACAAAGGTCCCAGAATTAAACTCTGAAGTTCTAAGAAGTATGCTGAACTTCTACAATTCTCCCTGAGCTTTTCCGAACTCCTACAATTTTAGCTGATCTTCTACGAAGTTCCTTGACCTTTAAACAAAATTCCCAGTACTTCTATGCAGTGTTCAAAGTTCCTCGAATTGCTACATAATTCGCTAAACTTCTATAAAGTTCTTAGAATACCTATGAAGCACTTCTGAAAAGTTCCCTGAACTTTATAGAATTTCGTTTATTTTCTGCGAGGTTGTTAGCTAAAAGAAACTTTTTATTTTCTCATTCTCATATAAAGTTCTCGATTCTACGAAATTTTCCTGATTTTTTACGAAACAGCCTTATAGTACGTTCAGACTACAGAGTTATAACATGTTATAGCGCAATCTTGATGGTGGTTTCTGTGTTGCAATTATTTGACAACCGTTATAACATGTTATAACTCTCCAGTCTGAACAAGGCATTAATTTCTTCGAGATTCTCTGAAGCTTTACGAAGGTCACCAAATTTATATTAAATTTCCTGAATTTCTACGATGTCCCCTGAACATCTACAAAGTCCCGGAAGTTATAAAAAGTCAAATGAAGATAAACAAAAATCCCTGAACTTCAACGAAATTCCCCGAATTCCTACAAAATTCTGTACATTTCTCTGAGGTTTGCTAATTTTCAACAATGGTTTCTGAACTTCTACAAAACTCGCTGAAGTTCTATAAAAATTATCTGTAGTTCTATGAAGTTCACTGAGAATGTCTACGAAGTTTTCGAAAGTTCTACCATATTACTTGAAGATCCTTGAGATCCTTCAACATTCACTTTCCTTTAAAAAATTCTCTGAAATCAAATGATGTTTTCTTAACTTTTACGAACTGCGCTTGACTTCTAAGAAGATCCCTGAACATCTGGGAAGACTCATGAAGTAGAAGATGTATTGGGAACCCGTGATCTTCCCTACATACAGGCGATCTACGAATTCCTATGTTTGTCTGATGTGACCATCCCTTTCTTTCCAAACAATTTTCAGACATTGTGTCCCAGTCTTATTATCCTCCTGTTTCTGTGCTACTTGCCCCTGCCAGGCCAGGATTTGGTCAACCATCCGAAAGTAATATCTGAAGCAGGCTTCAGAAACCAGTTTCCTACCTAGCTCCTTCCAATCGAAATTGTTACCCATTAACCTCGAGCCCGCCACGAGTAATTGGTACCCAATACTAACCTTGTACTACTGCTGTTTTAAATGTAAATTCAAACATTACTGATTTTTGGCCCCGAAAAGTGTCACACACGACTGAGCCTAGTAAATAAACGAACTAGTTTAAACAACATCTGGGAAGACTCAATTTTATAAATATGAAATATTAAACACTCTTCTCCGCCCGCAAATCGTAAACCGGTGAAGCAGTGGCGTCGCGTAACCTCACTTTTTACCGGTGCAACAACCTTCAAAACCATATTTAATGCCATATTCATACTCGAATCGGTAGACAAATGTACATGATCCGAATATACGAAACGATCAGGACGTATCCATATCCCACTAGTCCTGCACTCTGCAACACCTAAACCCAATCTCAACGCACTCACGGTTACATCACCATACGAAGTAGCAGAGAGACCACAAACCACCCAAACCAGGACACCACTAAACATGACTTAAGACATCCATACCCAGAAGAACAACCTAGCAACTCGGATAACGCCTCGGGTAGCTGGGGCCCCATCGGTGCGGAAGTTTTCGGCCAACCGGAACTGGTAGACTCTCCCCGGCGCTTGTCGGCAACCTCCGCTGACCACACTTTCAATATGACTCGACCCACCTTTCCAGTGGAGCAGTCGGCGAGGACGACGAGGGTTTCAAGATTTCAGTTAAGTACCAGGACCACGTGGGACTCAAGGCTGGCGAGCTGTGCATCAACGGTGAGCTTTCCCTACCCTCACTCCAGAACGAATTAAGCGAACATTACCACAGGTCTAACCGTTTTTGCCGGCAGCGGGGTCAACTCTGACTACTTCTGCAGGTGGAGCTCTGCCGGGGTTCACCATTTCTATAATCGGGTCGCGTGATAACCTTACTCTCTCCCGGAAGGACTTCGAGGGAGGCAAGATCAGCGAACGAAACTATATTGGGTCGAGCGATAACCTCGCTTTCCCCCACCTGGACATCGAGGGAGACAAGGTACCGCAGCAGAAGGGGTCGCATGATAATTTCATACTCAGGACATTGTCATCGGATAAGGCTTCGGGTAATCGGGGCCCCACCAGTGCGGAAGCTACGGGTCATCCGGAACTGGTGAATTCCCCGGCGTTCGTTGGAAAACTCCGTAGGTCATTGTCGCACAACCAAGTATCCTACGAGAAAATCCAACCGGTTGACAGGCAACCATCCGATCCCTCGGGATGTTCGCTCGGACTCACGAAGGTACGACCATTAAAGGGTCAATCTGGGTGACACCACCGGAGCATTCGCAGGCCTTTCATCGGCCCCGTCCCATTATTCAGCAGCTCCGGTATCTCTGCCGACAGCGGGGTCACCACCGACCGCCTCTAAGCTGAGAACACCGACACCAATATCACCTATCCCATTGCATGCGGATTCCTCTTGGGTGCCTCCCTCCAGTAAGCGGGCTGATTCCAGATTCATCATTCATCACACGATACCCGACTTCCGGAAACCCCGGAAGATCTACTCTGGCAATCCGATGGACCATGAATGGCTTCCATAATAACCTTTCGGACCTAGATATTCTTGTGCGAGACAGCAAGCCCATCATCCTGGCCATCCAGGAGGTCCACCGGGCCAGTGTCGGTAAGATGAACCGTACTCTTGGGAGTCAATACCAGTGGATCCTTAGGAGGAACGAAAACATTTTCCACTCTGCGACAATCGAGCGGTGCTAGCCCCGATACCTTTCACATGAATTCAGCTAGACAAAGATCTGCCAACTGTGGCGATCAGGATACAGCATCTATTCCCGATGTCCCTTATTTCGGTATACCTCCCGTGTGGAAAAATACCAGACCATAGAAAGCAGCTCTCAAATATACTCCAGAGCTTCGAGGGTCCCATCCTGGTTCTTGGGGACATGATTGGCCACCCTCCCGCTTGGGGCAGCCCCACTGCAAATATCAAAGGCTCCAACTCTGATGGATTTGACGATCAGCCACAAGACACTTCACGTTGGAGGTATGAGTCAATTGGAGTTACATTTTCCAACTCGACACCGGACATTCATCAGTCTACCAAGTGGCAACCACATCAATACCGCGGACTAGTCTCAACCCGAGTCTCAACCCGTGAACCAGGTCGTTACCATGGTGATCTCCTGAGACAAAAGCTGCTGTTAAAGCCAGAAGGAAGGCTTTAAGGGCAGCTAACTGACTGCCCACGGACAACCCCGGAAGCGGCTCTAACTGCATGTAGAGCTAAACGGAACGAGTGTAGACAGACCATCCGTACCGGCAAAAGCTCGAGCTGGGAGAATTTCCTCGACGACATTAACGCCGGACAGACCGGCTTCTGACTTATGGGGTAAACTCAATGCATTGAGCGGTAAGCGAAAGTACCGTGGCATGGTCATCCGAATAGACGGTTCGACCCCCACAAAATTGCTCATGCTATGGGGGAGTACTTCGCAACTCTTTCGGCCCTTGAAGGATATGACGACCACTTCCGTCACACAAAAATGACCTGGAGATTTAGTGGGATACCCCCTGTTAAAAAATCTACCCTCCTCAACCTCATCAACAGCGAGTGGCTAGGAAATACTATTCCGGAAGAATGGAGACACAGTCTGGAGCTTCGAGTCACGAGCCAAAGGATTTCAGACCAATCTCCTTAACATGCTGTGTCAGCAAGGTGCTGGAGCGGAATCGTAGACTCGTGCTCTATTTGGAGAATAACGGCTACATTGATCATCGTCAGCACGCTTTCCGTCCCGGACATGGCACGGGGACTTATTTTGCCACACTGAATCAGGTACTTCGGTACGCGAGGGATGCCGACCAGCACGTGGAGCTAGCCAAGACTTACACTCGGACATGGACACCTGACATCCTTGCCCAACTTGCGGAATGGGGTTTGTCTGGACACATTTTCTGAAGAATTTTCTCCAACATCGTACAGCAGGGTTACTTTCACTCACTTGCTATAAAAAATAGTTTTTCAGAATTATGAAATCATTAGATGTTATAATGATAATTAGTACTGGTATGTTACAAGAAGAGATCGTTAAGTATGTGTTTGACTCATAATACCTGCCAATATTGCTTTCAGTGCGTCGCAATCAGTGATTGTACGATTCGTGAGCACTCACTCTGAGTGAACGCTCACGAATCATAAGATCGCTGATTGTGACGCTCTGCAAGTGAAATTGACAGGTTTTATGAGTCGAACACATACTTGACACCCTCTTCTTGTTACTCACAAGTACAACATATCGTTACATCATCTAATGATTTCATAATTCCAAAAAACAATTTTTTATAGCAAGTGAGTGGAAGCAACCCTGTCGTACAGTATGTATTTACAACTATAGATCTAGAGGTTTCCCGGAGGAGACTGCCGTCCTTCAAGGCTTTGTAATCGCAGTCACGATGTTTTTAATACGGATGAACGGAGTCTTCAACATTTTTCCAATGGAAATATAGTAGTGGTAGTGGTAGCCACGAACGCTCTCCGCCTCTCGGTGGAGAAATGTGCTTACACTCACATTTGTCAGATGAACCACCATGTACTTCGCTCTCCAATCAGCGTTGATGAAGATCGCTTTAATGAAGTGAAAAGGAGCTACCAAAGGCGGATTGATTTACTCCGAACACTGGCAGAAAAGACACTTAATGAACAACCGTGCTGTTCGTATACGTGTAGCAAAAGCCGGTTGTTGATTCTAGACTGTCCAACGGTTTAGAATTGACTTGCCTTGCTGGTGATAGGTTGATTTTGAAACTGGCTCCAGTGTATTATCAGGCCATTAGAGTTACATCAGGCCTCCTCCCCTCCACCCGCAGGTTGGCAGCCTGCGTGGAGAGTGGAAGGCTGCCTTTTGAAAAATACATACTTGCAACTGTTTGCAAGAAAGCGGTTGGCTTTGCAGAAAATACTACAGGGACAAGTGACGGAGTGTCTCTCCTCTTGAAGAATACCGCCTGTAGCCAGGGTCTACTGGGGTGCCAGAGGATGGAACTCCCCATTCACTAGTGAGATCAGTAGCCGATTTACACCGAACCAAATACAACCATCATCAAGCACGATACACCGACGGATACCGAAGCGTTAGTAGAGTCGGTATTGGAATTTCCGATTCGGAACTGTGTACCTTTTACAGACTACTAGACCCCTGGGGCATGAAGTAGTTCGCCTCCTCGTGGTGTGCCCTGGAAGCGTTAATTATCGAACCCAAGGGAGAGATATTGCGGCTAAACGAACTACAGCAGAGTAAGTACGCTGGAGCCCCATCCAGCTCGACCCTCGTTGTGCAAAGGCAGGAGTGACACCAGGTTCTTAGAGTGCTTAGCACACGCAGCTGGTAAGCGGAACAACAGGAACAAGAGGAAGGCCCTGCACAGCTGCTCACTGTGCAGTAGCGAGTGTCACGTCTGACACACCACTAGTGATGCGCCATAGCGCAACCGGCCCCCTCCCATGATGTAATGCTTTTGGGCGGTTCCGGGGAGGGCAAGGGCCTAGAGCACAGGTTTAGTGGGTCGGGAGCGCTACTTCTCCCATCCCCACACCCTGAGTTATCTTCCCCCCTGTATAAAAGAACACCCCTGCAGCGTCTTAACTGCTGAAGCAGCCACTATTCTCGTAGTTGTCACTCTGCCCTCCAACAAACCCATCATCATATTCTCCGATTCTGCCAGTGTTTTAGCAGCTTTTCAGTCTGAAACAGCTAAACACCCCTCGAGTTCGCTCCTAACGAAACAACCTTCGTCTGGATCCCCGGACACCGTGGGATCAGAGGTAATGAGAAGCCTGGCGGCATGCGGAAAACAATCCAACTTATACACCCGAAAGGTTCTGGATATCCGAAAGGATATGGAACTGCTGGACTAACGAATGGATGAGATCACGAGACTTATTTATAAGAAAGGTAAAACGAAGGTAAAATGAACACCGACTCCAAATCATGCTATCCCGGTTGAGAACTGGCCATACAAATGTCTCCCACAACATGGGAGACGGAGGTAGATTTACAAGGCAGTGCGACACATGCAATGTTCCACTTACAGTGGAGCATTTCTTATGCGAATGACCCCACGGGCTCCGTTCCCTATACGGGATCTCAGGTAGCGTCAGGGATACCCATTCAGCATCGCTACGCTTTTTTGATTCCTTCAGGAGGCAGGTCTGATTAACCAAATTTGATCTATGAACACCTCTGCGTCCTCTGTAACAAAACATGAAAACCATAAAAAACAAATACAATAAATGTTCTTCAATACAAAATCATTTTTTTTGGCGTAGGACTACGTCTGTGATTTCTATATGGGGTACACTTTGTGAAAACCGAAAATGGAACATGTAACGAAATTATGAAAGATTTTGAACGTTAATAGCTCAGCTGCCCCTAGACCAATTTCATTAACTTTATCACCAATCGATCAGAAATATTTCTACGTATCTATAGCAATAATTCTATTGTCGATTATCAACAAGAAAATATTAAAAAAGTGATAAATGTCAAGCATTGTCCAAAAGCGTAGAAATAACTAAAAAATCCACCAATTCCGTATAGGCATATGCTGCTTCCCCAACACAGTCATCAGAGAATCATTTCTAGACGAAACATGTCGAAGTGGCATGGTGCGAATAACTTGGAAAACGAAAACTTGGAAGCAGGGGTGCAAGTGATTTTGATCGATTCTCTTAATCGACTTTCTTTTTCGTCAATAACTCGACGATACGTTTGTTGTTTTGGATGATACTGCGAAATAGGTTAGTGAAGCCATGGCCATCAAAAGAGGAAATCGATTAAGCAGCAGACGGACCTTGCGAGTGCCGAATCATTGAGCTGAAGAATATGGGATTGTCCGGTTCGATTTGCTGATCCAGCTGCCTACAGGTCATCATGATCTTCCAAAAGCTTTAAGTCTGTAATACCATCGGCCCTTTTCAAGGCCATCAAGATTTTCGAAAAGAGTTAAATTTCTGAACATGTCCCAACTAAAATTCATACCAAAAGGTTCTTTTCAGGGCAGTCATAGTCATACTAAAGAGTATAAACAGAGGGAACTCCGCTCAAATTCCTATTACTATACAAAGCACAAGCTCCTGCTGCAGTTAACAATTAACACTTGTTATATTAGACCACGTAGTCCTATGTCACCAGCGCGTACAATCCCATAGGGCTGCCCTTGTAGTTTTTTTTAATATCCTTTCAGTTGATATTTTGATCTTTAAAATTGGTCCAGTGGTTCAAAAGTCATGTTTTTTTTTGAAAAAAAACATCGATTTAAAAAAAAACATCGATTTTTTGGACCACCCTAACATGGAAATAGTCACCCTTCACCGGCTTTCTCTTTCGTTTATCACTTGAGAACATAACCGTTTCTTGTTGTGTTTATGCTAGAGAAAACTTCTTTTGTCGATCTGTGTGCTGAAAATACCTGGTAATGTCTTTACATGGCCGTTGGGATACAAAGAGAAAGTCGACGAAGAGAATCTGTCAATGTTACTTAGGACCTAATGCAATATTTAGCTTGAATTGCTTATGTTTTGAGAGTTAGGCCACGGCCAGGGTAGACGCGACACGCGACGCGACGCGATGCGACTCACGCAAGGAATAATAATAAATAATAAGATTCTTTTGAATTGGTCGCGTCGCGTCGCGAATCGCGTCTACCCTGGCCGTACCCTTACTCGCGCAATACGAGGAAAAGCCTAGCCCTCGTTGATCGATTCCCTAAATCGATTTTCTTTTTGGTGAATAATCCGACTGCAAATGAATTTTCCATTGAGTGTGTTGTTTCAGGTGCAAGCTATAACATCATCTTCTGTCGAACTGTGCTGCGAGCTTAGAGCACCCCCACCAGTGCGTTGCTATTCAAAGCCGCTATTTTAACCACCTAGGCGCTGCTATTTAAGCTGACAACCCATCCACGCACCAATAGTGACTATCATGGGTTGGCAATTTGACTTTTGAGATTCGCACCAGTCGTTGCTATTGTCGATTTCATAACAGTGACAGCACGGTTGTTTTGATTTACCTCGGAAATTAAAGTACCGAATAAAGATTAAAATAGTGCGAAATGGAGACCGTTGAGCAGATACTGGATTACTTCTCGGAATCCAGCGATGAAGAAGATCAAGTGTTTCAGCAGATGCTTTTTTATTCGTACGGGATGCCGTCAAACATCGCAAGAGGACGAGGTGGCTCCCAGGTGGGCAAGCGACAAAACATAAACAGATATGCAGAAGAAGGTGCTATCCGGCTTCATGAGGATTACTTGGCGGAATCACCTGTGTACACGGACGAGCAATTTCGGTGCCGTTTTTGTATGAGTAGGAGACTGTTTTTAAAGCTAAAAACTGCAATGGAAACTAATGAATTTTTCGTTCAGAAACCAAACGCAACGGGAAAGTTGGGACTGTCATGTCTGCAAAAGTGCACGGCAGCAATCCGTCAATTGGCATATGGTTCACCATCGGACGCTATTGACGAATACGTCCGAATGGCGGAATCAGCGAAACATTCGTTTATGTAGCCATGGTAAACCAAAGAGAAAGTCAATAAAGAGAATCGATCAACGAGGATAGACCCTTTTCAAATGTTACGCGAGAGTTGACACACAGGTAGATTGAGGTTAAGGCGACGCCACTACGGTGAAGACACTGCGTCAATCTCGTTGAAGATTTTTTCTAAATACATCTGGCTTCCCATCCCTCGGCTGAGTAACTCCCACTTCATGTAAGAGAAAACAGGTAGGGGAAATGGCTCTAATGTTGGCCTATGGATCTAAGATTGGGCCCATCGTTAAAAATCTGCTATTTATCAATTTTATCTAGATGAACGCATTAGGGGCATTTAGGCCGTCATTACATCCATTTCCCCTAGTGAACATTTGTTGCGATATCTCTTTTCATCTTTTATGCTGTGAGTGAGCCAGAGGCAGAACTGGTAAATGTCATTTTTCGATGAAAGATCTCACGCGATTTTCGCAGAGATACTTCTGTCACTATCAACGATGACAGATTTTCTTCATAATCTCAACATAGTCTAGAATACATTCTGATGTACAATGCATTTTCATTGCAATCTGTAATTTACAGGTCTTAAAGGCTCAGAGTAGGGTTTCCAAGACAGTTGGTTTGACCCGAAAGATAATAGGCCTAAAGAACGATTGGTTGCCGTTTGACCAAATGGATATCTTTTGGAGCATCATAAGCATAGCTGTCAGGATTTATCCAAAAAGTTATCTTGAGTCGTGCCGCCATACGAAAAAATGTGCTTCTGCAATTTTAACTGTCCAAATTCAAGACAAGTTCGAAAATAAATCACCAACGCAACTCACCTCTCGATTCTTGAAGATCCTTCTCTTGACCTTGTCGTACTCCTCTTCCCGCTCCTCGAAGCTCTTCGCCTTCCTGTCCAGTATGCCCCGATCAGGGCAGTGCAGCATCCCGTACCGGTACTCATCGAAGCTGTGGGTGTCGCGCTTCAGGATCGACTTGCGCGGTTCCTCCGAAAAGCTCTCGTTGATCAGCGTCTTGAAGCGAATGTCCGGTATCCGGGTGGCCGAGGTAACCTCCGCGATCACGCTCTGCTGGGTGGCATCCACGTTGTGCTCCATGCCGAAGTATGCCGCCACCCGGTGGATCAACATCCGGTTGTAGGAAGACATTGGCGGAAACTTGATCTGGCTACGGGTGCGATCCATGGCCAGGGCGAGCAGCTCCTTTTCGATCTTCATCAGCATGTTGCGATCTTTGAAGTTTTTGTTCAACGTCTCCTTGAAGAACTGGATCAAATTGACGCCACTCTGGTCGGTGAACTGCTCGCAGGAATTATCACGCGAGAGAAAGCTCGAAGAAGATCCACCACCGCCTCCTCCTCCTCCCCCACCGCCACCACTGATGGAACCACCATCGACGCTTGACGATGATCCTCCGCTCATATTTTTAAGTCGTGGCTTGTTGCCTTTGCCAGTGGCGTTATTACCACCACCACCACCACCTCCGGTCACTCCTCCACCACCCGCTCCGTTTCCACTACCACCTCCACCAGCACGGTGCTTCTTGTTATTGTGAGCGCTACTATTAAGATTACTATTAGAGCTACTATTATTTCTTATAAGGCTATCAGTAGGACTTTCACATTGTATATATCGATTTTCCTCATGTGAAAATTGTATATTAATCTGATTGTTAGAATCATTATTATTAGCACTAAAATTAACCTCACGTAGATTACGACTTTCATTATCACAATAGTTATTATTTGATGATACTGGCGACGACGATGACGTATTGTTGGGGGTGATGGCGTTGGCAGGCGCTCCGGAGATCATCGCCACGGTCAGGCTGGACTTGGCCGAGTGATCACCGCCGCAGTCCAGCATTAGTGGTCCTCCGCCTCCGCCTTGCTTCGGGTCCTTCAGTTCGGGGTTATTGCTAACCTGCTCGGCACCTGGTTTGCCTTTATTGCCACCCCCCAGATGATGGTCTAGTTTGTCTGAATCACTCTTTGCGTTGCTACTGGTACTATTGTTGCTAGTCCTACCATTGCTATTCTTGCCATTACCGTTGTTGTTGTTGCTGCCAGCGGTTCCTGGACCGAACGACGACTTCGGGGGTGTCAGTTTGGGAAAGTCTAGATCCAACTGGCTTTTGCCTCCCCGCTCGTCGCCACCGTAGACAACGATATTTGGCGAATTGCTACTAGGTTGTTTGCCTCCGTACTCATTGTTGTTGTTGTTGTTGTTGTTGTTGTTGTTGTTGTTAAACAGTCGAGATTCCGATACTGGCGAGTGCGAGTTGCTACTGCTGGTGCACGATGGCTCGGGTGTCGCGTTGATGGACAGCATATTTTGCTGACTCGTAGAGCCATTACTGTTACTGTTGTTATTGTTGTGCTGATCTGACGGTGATCGCGGTGTGGGCGTTCGGGGAGGGGAAGTTGACTCACGCATGGCGTGACTTCGGGTTAAATGCTTTCCTTTGCCCCCCAGTGTCTGAAAATAGAGAGAGCAAAGATGCTTCGTTTAGTAAATGATTTATTGACAGGGATTGACATTGGTAGATATTAAAATTGTTTGCGTTATGAAAATATAAAAATTGTTAGGGACATTTTTGGTGTTTTCTGGCCATTTTGGAATTTTAAAGTCAGTTTGGAAAGTCTAGGACATTTTAATATTTGTAGACCATTTTTTCTCAGTGTCCCGCAGCTGTGCCGGCAGTGCCGAGAGGTCATTGAACTGAATTTTGATTGCTTGAGAATAATGGCTTGTTTGGCAACTCGGTATTTTGACAGCTCTTGTTTTGTTTTTGGAAACTTAAGATGACCCGGGAGTAGGAACAACTTTTCCGTTCCGAGATACGGACCTTGCGGGTAGATTTTGCCAAGACGGTCCTGCAACATTATATGTTGGACGATGGAATGGGTGGTTCGAATGGTGGGATGGTATAGTTTTTGTTTGGTTGTTGACCGGACCGAGATTTTCAGCTTCGGCCCCGGCTATACGAATTAGCGAGCAAGCTTCCACGGCTGCCGCTGCTTCCAATGCTGCTACTGCTTTTGTTGCTGCTGTTCTTTCTGATGGTCCGTCTCCTCTAAAAACGAACCAGCAGCAACTAAAGCAGCAGCATTGGAACCAGCCGCAGCATCGCTAATTCGTGTAACCGTGGCCGGAAACCTCGGTCCGGTCACGATACCGCTGTTAGCTGTTCTTTGTCTGGGAGTTAATTTGGAAGCGACTGCCGCCACGGTTGTAACGATTTTGATAACGGAGCTGGAAGATATCATGAACCAGGGAGGGATGAGAACTTTGGGTGATAAACTATCTTGGATGAGCATTTTTTCCAGTAATGTTGGGATTGTGGAGTGTTGCTATACAAGAGATTGTCCTGATTTCGTCATGCTGGGTGGTTGGAATAACTGTACGCAGTCCGGCGCGAAATGATGCACCTAGTTCTTCGGGCAGGCATCAGGATGTGCGTTGACAATTCGATTTAGGAGAACCCATGACGAGAATTGGTGGAGATTCACTGTTGTATTTTGAAAAAAAAATATAAATATATTATATTGCGGCAAGATCAATAACAAATTCGCACACGGTAACCCCAAAATACCAAGTAATGACTACAAAGTAAGCATTTTCGAGGGAAACTATAACTACACACTAAAAAAATCTGAATTTTACTGGTGATGTAAACATCCATGCATGCAAACATTCATGCATGTAAACTTCCTTTTCACGTAAACTAGCAGCTTGCAAGAAATGTTGCAAACAAAGGTGGAAAGTTGCATACAATATATGGAATATTACATGACATGTCTCATAAATTTACACGATTTATAATGTAAATTTGTATGATTTATGACGCTCCATTTATGTGCATCATAGTAACGGAAATTTACACTACTTTTTTTTTAGCTGTGTACCCATCAAATAAGTAACATTTTACCCATTTATGAGTAATTACAACTACACAAATGAGTAGTAAGTATTGATTTATGAGTAACAAATACTCATAAATGGGTAAATTGTGTACTCATTTAATGAGTAGTCCTAGTTTCCCTCGAAAATGCTTACTTTGTAGTCAATATTGAGTAATTTATAGTCATTATTGGGTATTTTGCGGTTACCGTGCAGGTGCAGAAAAAGTTCAGTGCTGCCAGTAATTTTAAAGATCAGGAAAATTGTAACCATGGGTGCCAAACAGTGCCAATGACTGTGCAAATGGTGTGCCCAAGCTTGTATTTGGCACAATGTGCGGAGTGACCAATCCCTTGGGTAATTTTGGAATAGTCAAGCTAATCTGGGAAATGTAGGCTATTTTGACATTAACAGGCCATAACAACATGTTTGGACCATATTTGTGTAATTTGTCTAAGCTGGAATGATCCACATGTATACTAGCGCCGCGTAGTGAACAACTTTGCCGAAGACATTTACTTTCTATCTGGTCAGGATCTAGAGATATTTTATATTCAAGAATTCCACGTGTATACTAGCGCCACCTAGTGAAAAAATTCGGAACTGTTGTGCACCAAGCAATAGACGTTGACCTCCTGAAAAACTTTGTCGAAGACAGTAACTTTCTATCTGGTCAGGATCTCGAGATAAATCATATGCGACAATTTCACATGTATGCTAGCGCTACGTAGTGAGAAAATTCGGAACTACTGTCCACCAGCGAAAAGGTTGATCTCTTGAACTTGTCCGAAAACGACGGGTAACCCTCACCCCACCAAATCGATCCAAACTTTTCCCACCATCAACTCGTCACTGCAGATGCTCCATATTTTATTTGTTTTAATTAACGCGCCAAAATCACAAGAGAATGGCTGCAAAAGTCCCTATCAGCACTCAAATAAAGTTTGAAGTCCAACCGAGAAGAGATTCACTCACCCCACACGAAAGCTCACTCATCCGCACTGTTCTATTTTCGATTTCGAGAGGCGCAAGGACAGTGGAGTCAACTGAATTGTTGACGTTGCTTATTCCATCAAAAATAACCTTTCACCAGCCATCTCCCCCAGGATAGGAGCGTGCGTGGGATGAAAACGAACGAGATTACGCCCGTCAGTGACTGCTGATGGGACCGATGGGAGAAAATCGAAATCGATCCCTTCGCTGGTTTTAAGTGATGCGTAAAATACTATAAAATATCCAGTTCAAGCACCGTTCAACTGCTGGTGGAAGAAAAATTCTCCGAAAGTGTAATCTCGCCAGCTTTACCGTGATGAATGGGGTAACTTCTGACTGTCACACGGCACTTGGAATGGAGTAGAGCAAAATAATTGCTTCTGCAAGCAACCCCCTTCACTGTCTGCCGACGACCAACAAGACTAATGCCCGGCTTCCGTTTTGCCCGTTCTTGTGTCAGAGACACGCGGCAAAGACCCAAAATCCCGCTGGCTATGATGAGAACCGTGAAGGTCAACTCGACAGTAGTAGTAGTAGTCCGTGCCTAATTTGAAATTCAAATCGAAATATTTTCCACACTCACGCCAATAATTAATTATCGTTTCCTTGCCCGTACAGCGGAAGGACGAACTGGCTGGGAAGCCGTCAGTTTTTCGGTGGAAAAAGCTTCGTTGGAAATCACTTGACGCGGACGTGACCTTCACCTTTCGCAGGTGCTGTTTCCCTCGAACAGAAGGACATTAGTTCCTTCCTCTGTAGACGACGGTTACTTCCATCAGCATCGAGTGCATTACAGCACGTGTTTGAGAGCGAGGGAGAAAGTACCGGTCGTTGTCGCTGGGTTCAAGGTGAAGTGAAACAGTGCAGAAGGACGAACGGAATCTTATGGCTTGAACCGGTTTGAATCCGGCAGTGAATGTTACACGCAGTACAATGAACCATATCGTCATTTTCATCATTTTGTCATCGTCCATTTTTCACAGAGATGGCGCTGTTCCACTAATGGAAGTGATAAAAATCCCCATAGATAGATTGAGAGAAATGGGAATAATTCGCTATAGGTGCATATTCAGGTCCAAAAAAGTGAACGACAACCTAAATAAATTATTCAGGGACTTTGTCGTTCAGTTTTTCCCAGAAATTATTGTTCAACAATACAGTTTTATCTGCTTTACTACCAGTCCACAGAGAACCAAAAAATTCAAATTTGAGAGAGAAAATTTGCTCTCACCAGTTCAATCTCTCAACATGCCATGTATTTTGATGACACTCGATTTGTGATTTCCCTTTCACAGATTACAAAATAGAGTACCTGTCACTACAAAACATGTCTGGTACCTCTATATATGCATTTAGTTTAACATTTGAAGTCCCTCCTTTTTTACATATTCTGCACAAAAGATACTTTCTGCTCTGCCCCATACATAAAAATCGGCGGGAAATTCTGTGAGGGATGAGCTATTTTGTGTGCAGAATGTGTAAAAAAGGAGGGCTTCGAATATTAATCTAAATGCATATATGTATAGAAGTACCAGACATGTTTTGCACTGCATTGTCCTCTGTGAATAATTAACGGAAAACAGATTGTGTGTAGTTTCTGATAGATGTCACCGCAAACAACAGCAGCAACATCTGATGGAACATGAATGCAGAAGCTTGACAAAATTATTAATTGTGTCCTATTTTTTTCAAGTCAAACATTTTGTAACATTGCAAGCTTTCCGAATCATGAAGGTTTTGTAAATTGTATTTTTTTTTGTAATATTGATATATACGGGAAATGGCTCTAATGTTGGCCTATGGATCTAAGATTGGGCCCATCACTAATAATCTGCTATTTATCAATTTTATCTAGATGAACGCGTCATTAGGACTTTTTGGTCGCTATTGAAAATTTAGTCGATTGCTGAATTTATGTATGCTGCCTATAATCGAATATCAGTCCCATATGGATTTCCCATCCTAAAAATTCAATCGTCCATAGTTCAAGTTAAAGTTAAAGAATTGCCGTATTTCAAGTTCAAGTTAAAGAATTGCCGTATTTTTCGCTGTTATAACAGAACATGCAAGCTTCATTGTGATAGATTTTAATTTGAAAAAATATCAATAAAGATACTATGATTTTTCAAATATTTACATGAGAATTGCACTTCGCAACTTCTAATGCCATTTTCTCAATGCCTACTTTTTCCATATGGGACTGATATGCGATTATAGGCAGTATGGGCCCAAATTAGGGGCATTTAGGACGACATTACATCCATTTCCCCTACAATCAGAAGCACAGATATATTAACGTCACCAGGCCGACATATCATTAGAGTAAAGTCACAGAGAACAGACGTTGAGGCTCGAACAAAATTTCTCTAAAAACTAGTGTAAAGATTCCTATTCGACTTAAGCGCTACTAACTGCGACTTCCCCCCTTAGAAACCCTCTTTGACATCCTGATGGCGCTGGCCTTGCACAACTTAAACTAGATAGACACTAAGTGCTGGTAGCACCAAGTGGCAATTTTCAACAGAAAATTTATCGATACTAGCGCCAAATTGGTCGAAATTGGAAAATTTATAGAGGAGATC